ATTGCGTGTGACCCAGCAGACCCGGAACGAGCTGGCACCAATAAATGAGCCCGGTAAGCCCCCACAGAAGGCTTACCAATCGGAATTTGCGAGGGTGGAAAGGGCTCTCGGTTCTTGGGGGAGCAAAACAGAATGGAGCAATTGATGCTTTAATGCCAAAGTCAAACCATCAACTTTTTTTCACGTCCGGGAACGGTGTGAAATGCAAGCAGTTGGGTCTTTGGAATTTCGGGGGCCAAAAACGGTAAGAAAACGGACCATAAAATTTTTTCCGGATCTTTCATGGGCCGCTTGACCTGGCGAATCGGTTGATTTCAAACTTCAGACGATGCATAGATGCTCTCCGACGTATTTTCGACGTGGGTTTGAGGTTTTTCAACGTTGGTTTCAGGATTTTCGACGTCGGTATCAGGATTTTCGACGTTGCTTTGAAGATTTCTACCTGTCTTAAGCTTTTGGCTGGTAGGCACATTCAAAAGCTTATTAAGCTTAGTACCCCCTGCCAAAAATCATACATCCCGAGATCAACCTCCCACTCCCGCCCGCCTTCCCCACTCGACTCCAAAATTTAATTGGTGGCGGCATCGAGCGGAGTGGTGTGTGGGTCCTCTCTTGGCCCCTGGAAGAGCACTTGCTGCGGGGGTCGTCTCTTTGACTGTGGATGGCTTCTCCTCTCACAGATGGCTCCAATTAGAGGCCATTCCATTCCTTTCCTCACCCCGACCGCCCACATACATACATTCATTCCACCCCTCTCTGACGGCCGCGCGACATCACTTGTTTCTTTGACAGGACAATCCGTTAAATTGGTTGCGTCCGGGTGGACCGGAATTAGCAAAAAATGTGGAGTTCGAAAAGTTTGGGGTGAAAGGATTTGGCTGGACTCTTCGAAAACTGCAGAATTCGGCTAGAGGCGAACTGGACCTTTTTGACATTGTCTTGGTATCTGGTGCGCTGGCGCCATATCTCTCTCCCTCTTGCTCTGTGTGTCTCTCTCTATCGCTCTCTCGTTCTGCGTGTCTCTCACGCTGCCTGTAGTGCTCTCTCACTCTATCACGGTGTCGCTTGTGTCTCTCTATTTCTATATCTCTCTCTATCTCTCTCTCTCTCTCTCTCTCTCTCTCGACCGGTGGGTCTCTCTGTCTGTCTACCTGTAGCGCTCTCTCGCTTTCTCTCTCTCTCTCACGCGCACGGGCTCTCTTTCCCCCTCTCGCTTTTTCCTCTGTCTCTGTCTCTGTCTCTGTCTCTGTCTCTCTCGCTCTCTCTCGCTCTCTCGCTCTCTCTCGCTCTCTGTCTGTCTGTCTGTCTGTCTGTCTGTCTGTCTCTCTCACTGTCTCTCTCTCTATGGCATGTCGCTTTTTTTCTCGTAATCAAAGAAGTGAACCACACAATTTCTTGTCACAGTGTCTCTGTATGCCAAAGCGACGCCATCTGGCCCGCTTTTTTCGCCTTGAATAATGAGGGCACGCGATATCGAGCCGTTCTCTGGTTGCAACTGGAACACAAAAAATGGCCAAGGTTTGGACTGGACATTTGGTCGGAACGAAAACACGGCAGTTATTTGGCAGTGGGAGTGAATCAAGGCAACTTTTTGCTGTTATCAGGATTGAAAACCCTCCACGCGCTTACTCCATTCCAGGCGCGATTCAAGAACATTAATTTTTTTTTGGCTAGTTTCTTGGTTTCATGAATGGTGTCACGATTAGCAATTGAAGGACATTGAACACGACAATTTCGCTATCTCTGTTTATTTTGAAACCAGAATTTCACCCAAATCCGACGCCACTAATCCGCCACTACGTAACGACCAGAAAAAGCCCAGACAATTCGTCTCGATTAGCTAAAACACGATACAATGCATAGTATTCCCCCATTGTCCTCATCCTTTCCCTCTCCCTCACAACAGATTTCATGCCCGAATAGGAATCGCCTTCTCCCCCTGCCACCATTCAATGCAAAGAATTTTTGGCAGTCACGTGGTTGCCCCGCGTAGTCATCTCGCCTTTTCACATCAAAAGAGCCAGTGGAATCTGTTTCCTTGATCTTTTGGGATCAAACACGCCAAGTATGCGCTGCAAAAGTACGATAAGTTCGCTAGAATGTTAAAGAACCAGTGGACAAAGCCCGCTTCGCGGCCATTTTCCACTGGACCCCGTCCAGGAATGATGAATTTGAATACCTTCTTCTTTTAACCTGCGGCGCAAGAACCTGAGTAATGGCGCCATTCTTTGGCCTGCGGCGCTAGAGCCAGCGTTCCGCTAAAACCTTTGAGCCTGCGGCGCTAGTTACTGGTTTTTCTCCATGGCTGGGTCTGCGGCGCGAGAGCCTGTGTCAAGGGACGATCCTTGGCCTGCGGCGCGAGAGCCTGGACCAAGGACCTTTTCTTTGGCCTGCGGCGCGAGTTACTGGTTTTTCTCCTGGATTGGGCCTGCGGCGCGAGAGCGTGGGTCAAGGGCCTTTTCTTTGGCCTGCGGCGCTAGAGCGAGGGCCAGGCCTAAAGCTCGCACACCGAGTGCCCAGAAATATGTTTAGTTGCTTAACTACCAAAAAGCAAAAAGGTGGATTTGCCCACGATCCGAACCCACGACTAAAGGCGTGGTAGGCCGGGCGTAAATCCACTACACCACGGGGTAGATGGGAACAGGCCGGCGGGAAAGCCCTCTTCGGTTCCGGGGAAACGGGGGGGCAGGGAGGCACAGAAAAGGCCGACCCAATGCCCCGGGAGGGAAGCCTTCTGGACACTTTACAAAATTAAGTTTTTGAGTCTGAATGCGCCGAAAATTTGTAAAAATAATAAGATGCGCGTGATCCGCACTATCGTATACATAAGTTGTCTAAATTACAGCCCGAAATTCCAAACGGGAATGGAGTTATGCCCCGAACACCACGGCCGGTCGCCCATTTTGTTAAGGATTTTTACTATTTTGCTTGTAAAATCGCTAAATGAAGGAGTTTCGCAAAACAAAAAAATGCGTGTCTGGCAAATGCATTTCTCCGCCTCCATGCCAAAAATCAGCTCGAAATTCGGCCTGACGGCCGAGAAATCGTCATTACAGAAAACAGACATACTTTTCTCGCTTATAGGATAGGATGTTTTTAGGGAAGGCGAATTTTTGTCTGGCTCCGTCTCTCTCTCTCTCTCTCTCTCTCTCTCTCTCTCTCTGTCTGTCTCACTCTCGTTCTCCCTTCTCAGTAGCTCTCTCTCTCTCTTTCTCACGCTCTCTCCGTCTCGCTTTCTTTCTCTCGCTTTCTCTCGCTCTCGTTCGCTCTCTCTCTTTATGACTAGTCATTAATGAATCAACGTGGAAATCGATACGATGGATTTTCTCGACTTTACAATCCCTTTAAAAGCCTCCTCCCCCTCCATCTGCTTTCCCCTTCCTATTCCGCGACACACCCCGCTTCTCCTTCTCTCTGCACTCTCCCCTCCCCCTCCGTCTCTGCCCCCCCTTTCTCCAATCTGAAGAGCCCTCTTTGCCCTCGTTCCTTTCCTTCCCTTTCCATCCTCCAGTCCATCCGTTTTGTGCCCCCCGGGCCATATACGGGCTCCTCTGCCTGGCTCTCCCATTTACTTCCTTTTCTTCTTCTTTTCACTCTTATTCTGCTTTTCCTCTCCCTTTTATTCCTATTTACCCCCTTTCGTCTACTATTCCTCCAAATTCCTCCCTCCCCCAATCACTACACCTAACAAACTCCATGTTCTTTGCTGTTTCTGGGGCTTGATTTTTGGGGGTTTGAAGTCAAATTGGTGCCTTGGATGCACTTTAGAATTTGGAGAACAATTTTATCGTTATTTAGCCCCGGGGAACAACGGTTTTTAGGTTCTTTGGTTTTAAAACGTTTAAATAATTACGAATCCGTAATTTACTACCTTTCCAAGAGGTAAAAATTGATTAAGCTTTTTGGGAAAGCGTATCTTTAAGGTAAGAACCTTTAACAAAGATTCTAGTGAGTCTCAGAATTTTTCTAACGTTTAGATAGTTGCGAATTCTTGATGTCTAGCTTTTACAAATCCTAAAAAGTAGTTACACTTTTAAAACAAAAAAAAAATGCAATTTCGCATATAGAACGGTCTTGAACGTGTATTTTTATATATTGAACGTTTAAAAGTGTTAATTCTTCCTTATTTTGAGTTTTAAAACATAAAAAAATGTTAAAGCGAGCGCCGGATCTTTTTTCGCGTTTTTCAAAGTCAATTTTAGCATTTTTGAGTCAATGTTAAGCTAAAACCCCGGGAATGTTTGTGAAATTCTAGGCTGCTAATGATCAAAATTAAAAAAATATATTTTGAGCGCTAATTTGCTAATTCTGAAAATCATACATCCCCAAACTGTTAATTGACGCCACGCGGAATTGAACTTTCGGAGACTATTTTTTCTTTTCGACTCTTTCCCCTGGTCGTGCGATGACAATTCCCGATGGAAATTGTTTAATTTCCCCCCGGGGGCTGCTGAATTCAGAATTGGACGCGGGAAAGGGCAGGGCATGAAGGAAATTGAGTCAACTTTTGACATGATGACTAGACATCCGGATACGGTATTTGGGAGCGTAATTTAGGTTTTGTAGGAAATTTTGGAGCGTTTGGACGATTAAATAACATTGATAATAGGTTTGATATAGGTATTATATAATATAATTAATATAGAAAAAAGTATAGAAATATTTTTTAATAATAATAATTTTAACGAGATTTTCGCACGTTTTTCATTTATTTCCAGTCCGGATCGTTACCCGGGCCTCCCCCGATTTTCGAGTGTTTTGACCGGCTGTTGGCCCCCGAACGCAGGATGTTTGTTTTCTGGAGAAAAGATCCGCTGCGGCGCCGACCCGTCAACGCGTCAATTTTCGTACCCTTTTTCTTGGAACTCCTTTTTTGAATTTATTCGTAACGTACGCTGAAATTAAGGTTTTCCTCATGCTTTCCTTACCACCGATCCCCTGACTTCTATATCCCTTTAAATGAGCCTATTTAGTATTGCGACGTACCGGTCGCGAATCGGATGAAGGATCGGAATGACCGATGCCTGGAGGTGGCCCGTGAAGGCGAACGGCTCATTCGGGATGGACAATTCGACAAGGGTACGGCGCAATCGTGATTTTTTTTTAATTGGTTACGTGAGCAAATACAGTGCAATGCGCTCCACTTTTGTATTTTCTAGAAATATGCACTCGCTCACTCTCTCGCTCGCTCTCTCTCTCTCTCTCTCTCTCTCTCTCTCTCTCCCCACTCTCTATCTATCTCACTCACTCTTGCTTTCTCTCTCTTACTCTCTCCCCTCCCTCTCTCTCCATCCCTATCTATCTCTTTCGCTATCTCTCTCCTCTGTCTCTCACTCTCCCACTCTCTCTCTCTCACGCTCTCTCTCTCTCTCCCTCTCTCGAACTCACATTACGGTAATCCCCAAACTTCCGTTTTGCCGCTTTTTTAAGTGTGTTCCGCTACAAATTACGGAAATTCATCGCGAGACCCCGGGGGCCTTTTTTAGTGGAATTTGCGATTCCAGTTTCCAAGAAATAGAGGATGAAGGATGTGTTTGTGTGAATTTTTGATGCCATAATCTGGAGGGGTGAAGGGGCCGGTTTTCATTAGCGAGAGTGCGGAACTGGGGGGTTATCTGGAAAGTTTACTAGTCGAAAATCTAAAAAATTAGGAAATGCAAAATGGGGATAAATGTTTAAAATAAACTGAAAAATACCGTAATCCGCGTTATAAATGGAACCGAAACCGGTAGTAAGAATTTTCCAAAAAATAGCATGCTGAGAAAAACTGCCAGTTGGGCTGGGCCAATATTTGCTGATAATTACCGGAATCGCATCAAAACTACAATTCGAGCTTACGTAAAATGAAAAAATTATAAGTTCATACGAAACATTGAAAAATTACTGAAAATATAGGTATTTTTGCAAAAGTCGGTTTTTTAAAAAGTCATTTAATAAATCATTTATGATTCAAATTTTGTGAGTATAATATTAAAAATACAACAAAATCTATCCGTCGCCGAAAATTTAAATAAAAAAACACTCAAAAAACACTGGAAAAGTCGGGGGTGAAAAATTCAGTCCTTTAAGGTTTTCCTAAAAATTACATGCGAATTTTTATGAATATAACGTCTCAAAAACAAACTTTTAAGGTATCGAAGCTATGGAGGAGGCGATCCAGATCGGGACCAGCGATCTTCTAACCCTCTCAGCCATCTATTCCCAGCTAGGAAACGCGTTCTTCTCCGTCGGATCGTACTCGAAAGCCATCGAATTCCATCGGAATGATTTGCTGCTGGCAAGGTACTGTAGGATGTGAAATAGTACGAATTACACCCAATTACAGGGTGCTCTCCGACAAGACGGGCGAGGCGAAGGCGTGCGGAAATCTGGGGAATGCGATGAAGGCCGTTGGGCAGTTTCACTTGGCGCTTTCGTATTTTGAGACTCAGCTACGGTTGGCGAGACAGTTGGAGGACAAGGTGGGTGTTAAGGTATCTCCGCGTAGACTAGCGGCTGGAATTTATACGGGGTAGCTGTCACAGTTCCTTTAAAAGCGTGTAAAAGGTATTGTACCAGTCCTACAGTAACTGTTCGAAATTTCGATTTTCATGCCTATTTTTAGTACCTCGAATCCCGAGCCCTGTTCCACCTCGGAACCGCCTACCAAGCTCGTGGAAAGGAGAATTCCCGGACGCTCCTCAGCCTTCCACTTGACGCTCCGGAGTGGCACGTTGCCAAGGAGGATCTCGAGACGAGCAATCAATACTTTAGGTACGTTAACATACGCGTTGCGTAGTCCGTACATCACCGTACTGTTAATACGTACTGTGTGCTCCGATTGCGCCAGTAGAATGGCGCTCTGGGCACATTTAATGCGCGTGGCGAAGGCGATACGGTACGGTCCTATGAACACGCAGACAGCCGTACGGGAAGATACTATTGGCGTAACGTTACGGTACTATTAATATGTGTAAAGGTACGCTACGATACTCTAAACACGCGCCAAAGAGTACGCCAATAAAGTGCGCAAAGAAGTAACAAGTATTAATAAATGCTACAAAAGTCTTGGCGTACATTACGATACTTTCAACGTACGCTACGATACTATTAACGTACCGTAGGAAACTCTTAGCAAGAAGTACGCAAGTACGCTACGATGCGTTTAAAAGGTCTAAAGCAATACAACGGACATTTTTAACGTCCCTACCCCCTAATTTCAGGACAAACCTCGACCTGGCGAACTCGTTGAAGGACTACCTCTTCGTTGGCCGGATCCTGGGCCACCTCGGCAATAACCACTATTTACTCCGGGATTTTCGATCGGCTATTGAGAATCATAACGAGGTAAGGTACGCTCCGATACCTTAATAGTCTCTTTTTAGCGCCTCGACATTGCCAACCAGTTCGGCGATCGCCAGGCAGCGCGGAGGGCCTATACGAATTTGGCCAATGCACACATGATGCTCAATGAGGTGAGAAATAAAATTTAATGAATTTTAATACCGCTGGTTAAAATTTATATATAAGGTATACGGTATTTATTTAAGGTCCGAAAAGCCGTCGAGTACTACCGATTGGCTCTTTCGGTCGCGTTCGACATTGGCGATCGGTACGGAGAGGCCCAAAATTGCTTCTCGCTGGCAAATGCGGCGGTTGGGATCAAGGATTATCAACTTGGTAAGTAAACTTGGCTTAGGCTTGGCTTAGGATTGGCTCAGACTTCGCTTAGGCTTGGCTTTGGCTTAGCTTTGGATTGGCTTTGGTTTCGCCTGGCTTTGGCTTGGCTTGGGCTTGGCTTAGGCTTGGGCTTGGCTTAGGTTTCGTTCAGGCTTGGCTTAGGCTCAAGCGTCCTAGAGTTGGCTTTATAAGCTTATATCCTAAATTAAACCGGTTTTAGCCACCGAATTCCACACACGACATCTGCGGCTGGCTAGGGAATGCCGTGACTTGGCGGGTGAAGCCCGAGCTTACACAAGTTTGGCTTCGGACTTCCTGAGCTTGGAGGATGTGCGGAAAGTCGCGTACTTCATCGAACGAGGCTGGAGGTTGGCTAAACAGGTCGGTTTTTTGGAGTTTTTCAAGTGTTCCAATTTTTTAAAATTTGGCAGTGAATTTTTCGCATCGTAAATTTTTAAGAATGTATATGACAAATTACGAAAATAATTTTAAGTAAAATCTGTGGTTTTTAAAAGTGTATATTTCTAAAGGACCGGATCAGGTCCTTTTCCCAGGTCCAAAAATATTTGCGTGGGAAGCGCTGCTGCCGAAATTGCAAACTGCGCCCACCCTCTCCATATTTTTCAGATCAAAAAATTTCATACAGCGAATCTTTTTGGGAGGGCTTGGTCTCTCTCCCTCTCTCTCTCCCTCCCTTTCTCTCTCTCTCTCTCTCTCTCTCTCTCTCTCTCTCTCTCGCTCTCTCTCTCTCGCTCTCTCTCGCTCTCTCTCTCCCTCGAAATCAGGCCCCTATTCATATAGGGCAAAATATCTCCCGTGGGGGGGATCAAAATATGACCGCGGCCTTCGCGCGGGCGGAAGATTATTGCGTTGTATAGGTTTTGATCTTTGGCGTATATCTAAAAAAGAAAATTAAATAATTGAATACTGTAGTTTTGAGCACTGAAAAATCGCCTGGATTTCGTCCTTTCCAAAATCCAGAAAGCTTTTCATGAAATGAAGAACTTTTCATTCCTCTATTTTAGGTTCAAGTGTTCCAAATTACACTTTTTAGGGTAGAAAATAGAGATTAGGTTACGAACTATATCTTTTCTGAAAAAATGGGACTCCTGACAGGCTAAAAACAACAGTTTTACCTCTTAACTTTCACGCTTTGTCTATAAAAACGTGAAAGCTTTCCTATTCTGACCTTCTGCTGCGTCGCGAATTTTCGTAAATATTAACCACCCGCTGCCAGCCAAATTCCGTGGGAATACGCCGAACGGAACGGCCATCGCCATATGACCAACAAGCGAAGACCTCCGCACAGCGTTTTCACCCAGCCCACCCAGTTCTCAAATCTAATCGGCTGCTCGTCCTTTTCCATCCCTTTTTTGCGGGTGTCCGTCCACAGGGGCTTCGCGGAAATTCGGAAGCCCAAAAGAAAAGAAGGGAAGGGGGAGAAGCTGCGGAGAACCCGTCAAAATGAGGTCCACACGCTCTGCTAGAAAGGGTGGGGGGGAAGGGTCATCAAAGACACGTCTTCTCCACCCAGGCTCGCTCTCGATCAGCTGACCAAAATATGTTTTTTTGCAGTTTTTTGAGCAGAATTCAGATATGTGTACTTTCATGGCGTAATCGGAAAAGTCGGATAAACTGACCTAAAAAATTTTCAATGGAAAAGCTTTGGGATTTTTATGGTTTAATCGGAAGATCCTATCAGCGAAGTATAAATATATTTTTAAAGCGGTTTAATAGCCATTTTGAAAATTTTGTAGTGTTTGTAATTATTTCAATGTTATTTTGATGACGTAATCGGTTTGTAAATCCGAAAATATCAGTATTTTGCGTGATTTTCATGCCGTAATTGTTTTATTGGCCACATTCTGAATCAAAACTTCCTTGAAGTTTGCAAAATTTTTCGGAAGCTTTTGGTGGTTAAGGTCAAGGACCTGGAAAAAAGATTCGACGATTTTTGAGTTGAAAAAGGTAAAAATCGACTTCGACCTTCGACCTTCCAAGCACCGTTAGAACTCGGCCCATCAAATTAGCGAAAGCAAAATCTTCCAAACATCCAATTCGCAGCTTCGATCATTTTCCAAAATTCAAGCAATTTCCAATTTTATCCCCCTAAACGACCGCGAGTTCTACCGTAATCTGTTTTTCTCGAAAAGAATTTCTCGAGCTTCCGAAAACACCTACATTCCGCGACATTCACACCCTCCGATTCGGCGATGCCTATCCGAAAAAAAAGCAATTTTCCCCCACCCCCGCCCTTGCCCACAGCCCTACAATTTCGAGCACATTGTTTTCATTTCGGGACCCACGCAAAAACGACTACAAAAATTTGGTGCGCCTGATAGAATTTTTTCGAACCGCCATTTTTGCTTGTGAAATCCAACAAGCCAGCTGGGCGATGGCGAAATTTATTTGGTCCCAGCAGGATGAGTTTTGAATCACGAGATTTCGCGACTGTACAAATTAAGCTTTTCGGTAAAATGGGATGCTAAAAATTGCGCCGTAATTACTGCCGTTGAACCGCATAAAATAGGTTTGTACTCGGGCCGTTTAAAGGAAATAGGAAGCAGCGACAATCTACCCCTTACCTCGACTAGGTCTCGACGACTACGAAAAGCTTCTAGTGACACCCCCGATGTCATGTTGGTATTAGTTTCGGGTGTAGAAGCTGGTGATTGTTGAAACTATCAGACGTTTACACGCGTGGTTGGCGGTTCGCATGGCAGCCGAGGCCTAGTGGAAAGTAGAGGTCGATTCCCCGGGCTCGTCCCTTTACGATCCAAATCTTTGCACTCTCTATTTTTAAGAATTTACAAATTTAAATTAAACTAAAGTTCGGAATTTTTTTTGATATTTTACGTGCATCCACGGAACCAAAGCATTCACAGATGCCCGCTCTAGACGTCGATCTCATATTTTCCCAATTTCCTGGGCCACCGAAAAGCTACGGTAATTGCGGTGCAAAACACCTGCCCTGGGATCCCTGGGATCGGCTTAGGGCCCATGGAAAAAGCCCCTTTAGCCCCTAGCTAGCCATTCTTCTCTGTATCTCTTTCTTTCTCTATCTATCTATCTATCTATCTACGTCTCTCTCTGCCTTTGTCTCTCGCTCTCTCTCTCTCACTCGCTCTCTCTCTCTCTATCTATCTGTCTCTAGCTCTCTCTACCCATCCATTCCATCCGTTCCATACGGCTTTCAGCATATACTGGCTTTTTCGAGTTGTCTCTCGGCCTCTCACTATTCCTCCTATTTTCACTCCCTCTACCCAACCGAATGTTTTGCCGATTGGCACCCAGGCGGGGGATCGTTTCGGTTCCCCCATTTTTTCCGGCTTTTCCTCTTCTTCTGGGGGGTGAAATGGCCGGTCGTTCTTGGCTTTGAAACTTTAAAGCCTTTTAAAGGGGTTGGGAAGGCATGGTTAGGGATTTTTTGGGGCTAAAGATTTACTAAGATTTTCCGTAACTCCAGCCTGCACCATAATTTCTTACCGGAGTGCCACCGATTTAAATCGGCGTCCGCATTGCGTAGCGCGGGCAGGAAATTTTTTGCGACTGCATAGCTGATCAAATTCATATGCATTGGGGTCCCGCTATGCGGATTTTTCACGCAAAAATCCAGAATCTAGCTATCTATCTCTCTCTCGCTCTCACTCCCTATCTATCTCTATCTATCTCTCTCGCGCTCTCTATCTATCTCTCTATATTTTCCGGACGTTCAAAAATGTCGAATAGCTGCAAATGACAGCTTGCCAGGATCGCAGCTCCTAATCCACACACCCGCACTTCTGCATTCGACGAGTGCTCTGAAATTATTGGACAAAACTGATGGTTTCACTCAGTTTTTCGATTTTTATTTATTTTACCGTAATACGGACACGAACACCAACCTCAGAACCAGGAATCTGTCGAAAACATCGTCTTCTTGTTGTTGTTCAGGGAGAGGATGGAGACCCGAAATTGTTCTCCCACGTGACGTTTTTCATCGACCGGGCCTTTGTCGGCAGTTTCGAAGGAAACTCGGGTGTCAATTCAGCTGCGTAGAACTTTCGTTATTTTTGGGTACTGTAGTTTTAACGATTCCCTTTTTTGCGCTCTTTCTCTCTCACTCCATCTCTCTCACTCTCACTCCCTAGCTATCTTTCTCTCTCTCACTCTCTCTATCACTCTCTCGCTCTCTCTCTCTCTCTCTCTCTCTCTCTCTTATTTTCCCCAAACTTCCTGTACCCATTACTAACCGGACAGTGGTCCTGCTCCTGCCGAGTGTGTGCGGGCCATAAAATTCCGCCTTACCCCCCCGCAAAGAGCCCACCCGCGTAGTCTTCTGCTTCTCCTCCGCCGCGAGATTGGTGGCCGACAACTGCTCCATCTCCATCTTTACCCCCTCTTTTTCTCTGCGTCTTTTGTTGTCCATCGTAATCTATGGGGTCACGCCAAATTGTCCTTTTGCCATGTCTTGCTCTTTTTCGTTCTATTGTTCTCTCTCTCTCTCTCTCTCTCTCTCTCTCTCTCTGAATGTCGGTCCATCCATTCTGCTACCAGCAAAAAGCGTTGTTTTCCAGTAGTCACAGCAGGCAGATTAGACCTACAGGGTCACAGGGTAGGGTTCTGACTTTTGAATTTTGGAAGATTTTTGGTTTTCTCACTCTCGCTTTCTCTCACTCACTCTCGCTCTCTGTCTCGCCCTCGCTTTTTTCGACAGTTTCCCAGAGGTGTCATAATTTATGTGGAATTCTCAGTCTGTTGTGGTTTTACAGCTTCTTAAGGCATATAGAAGTCCACTTTTTCTCATTTGAACTTTTCGAAAACCTCCGGAAAATGGTATTAAAGGCACCGGAAAGGCCTGCTAGAGTCCCTTCAATTTGAATTGGACACCAATAAAACCAGCTAATCACCTAGAAAACCTGAAGAAATACCTGAATTCCCGGAATCCCTAGAAAAACAAGAGTTCTCGGCCCTGAACTCTTCCAATTTCGGCTTGGCCCCACTCGTCAGTTTTTTCCAATTTACTCCCAGATAGTTGGGCCTCGTTTTTTCGTGCTTTCTCTCCCTCTCTCGCTCTCTCTCTCGCTCTCACTCTCTCTCTCTCGCCCCAAGGGCTTCATTTGGATTCGAGAGAAGACACGGATTAGCCCGCCAAACCCGGCTGTTCCTCCAACGCGGCAAAAACATTAATTTCGATCGAATTTCGATGAGAGAGCGAAATAGAGAGAGAGCGAGAGAGGGAGAGCGATATCCATTCTCTTAAGCCAGAATCCCTAAAGCCGCCCGGTTTTTGGTGACAATTTGGTACGGAAGGGGTGAGAATGACGCCTGGCTATTTTAGAGCCTGGATATGAGCGTTGTTTAGGATTTTCGGATGTATCCAGAGTTTAGGCGACAATGAGAAGCCCGGCTACGGTATCTTAGCGGGTCAAGTAGGCCTGGTGGGGTTGCCGGAATTTTTATTCCGTCTTTCAAGGCTTCGAGCCCAGTATGTTGTTTAGAGTTATATCTATCTAAATCTGGTTAAAACTCAAATTTTCTGAAGAAAAACTAGAAGATTGGCAATGTCGCGTTTCCTTTAAACCTTACGCAACACTCCTCCGCACGACTACGTGCCGAAACTCTTTGCATATTTGTTCCCCAAAAAGTTGTCATCGGATACGAGTGCCGCCTGATTTTGTGCGTTGGTCGCTATGAATATTTGGTGGGGGAATTCTGTCTACTACCCACTCGTGCGCTTTTTCCTAAAAATTGACCATATCGTGGGAGAGAGCGAGAGTGAGTCAGAGAGAAAGAGAGAGAGAGAGGGAGAGAGAGAGAGAGAGAGAGAGAGAGAGAGATGGCCCAGAGACCATTTGTAACCGAACCCGACCCCTGGAGAAATGCAAACCAGCAAGAGACAATCGGGGCACCGGACAAAACTTGGACACTCTCCGTTTCTCTCTCTCGCTCTCTCTCTCCCCCCCTCTCCCCCCCCCCCCCCCTCTTTCTCTCTCTCTCTCTTCTCTCGTACTTTGCCCCCATTAGCGTTCCTCCAAAGGAATCAGACACCAAACACACGTAAAGCGTTTACAGGAAAGTCCTGGAATCCCGGCTTCGGGAATTTCATTAGACTTATGCTTTAATGCGTTTTTCAGCTGTTAATTTTTTAATACGGTTTCTTATTTTGATAACAACCTGGCGATGCATGCGATTTTGTAACCCACGATTTTCTTTAATACCCAAGCTCTAGGGTGCAAATACACAAAGTCAAGCGATCAAGATCCACCCGCTTCCACCGGACAACCGGGGGTGTAAGTTGGAAATTGCGGAATTTTTCACCTGCACGGAATTCCCCAGTTTATGGCGATCGACAGGTGATACCTTACTAAATCCCCGGCTCAAAAGTCTGTTTTCTCTATAAATTGGGATATTACGGATTTTCGGCCATCTACAGGCAGGCCTCAGGTCTTATCCACAATAATTTCGCAAAAATTTAACTTTTAAATGAACAAACATTTTTGGTGGATCTTAACTTGGCTTTTCTGGTGTTTAGAGCTCTGTAATTTAATACAAATTATACGCCAATGATCACTGGTTCAATCGCCCTTGAATTTTTTTTCTTTTTCCTGCTCGACCTCGTCCTCCTGACATCAAGTACCTCGACCCCATCAACTGGTACTCCACCCATCGTTTTTTCCAATTTTCCGCGCACTTTCACTAGACACCTCCTCAGGGTTAATGCCTTTTCTTGCTAGCTCTCTCTCTCTCTCTCTCTCTCTCTCTCTCTCTCTCTCTCAAGAAATCAGGAACTTCCGGGGTCTACCGCAGGCAGAATCGAGTAAAATAGCAGGGGCATATGCCAAAAGAGAGACTCGAGTTTTGCCCACCTTCTTTGCTTTTGCGCTTTTGCATACCGGAAATGTGGCACCTCCTCGCATACACTTTACTCCCCACAACGCCCAAGAGGCGCCTTTTTTCAAAACTAAGCTAATTGGGGAGTGTGGCGGGAGAGAGAGAGAGAGAGAGAGAGAGAGAGAGAGAGAGAGAGAACGAGTGGCTGGCTTATTAGATTCTGGTCGCGTCTTCGTCGTATTGATAGAGCCCCCTCCGCCTCCATATGACATATTCGTCATCGAGTTTTTTAAATATATAAATCTCAACTGGTTCTAAGTTTTTATTCTAGACGAGAGAGTGCGAGATAGCGAGAGAGAGAGAGAGAGAACGAGACAGGCAAAGGAAATGCGAGAGAAAGCAAGAGCAAACAAAAAATGGAGAAAGAGATCGAGAGAGAGAGCTAGAGAGAGAGAGAGAGAGCGAGTGAAAGACATCACAGTTATAGTATTTGCATATTTTCACACCACTTTCTTTTTATTAAGACAATTTTTAAGCCTTTTCCCATCGCCTGGAAATCCCTATGAACCCCATAAAATCCGTTCCAAACTTTCCAATTTTTCTTGCGCGTCTACCCAACGGGTTCTGGGTATTCGATATTCCCTCCACGGGATTTCCCACGCCACAGAATCCCCACACAAAAAAGAATTCACCCGAAAAAGGGGACGTCAAGCCCTTGGTGGGCCCATCTGGGCCCAAAGGCAATTGGGCCCCTCATTGTCCGCCACTAATCCCATATTTTCGCCTCATCTCTTTTTCGCACAGTCATTGACTTGGGGAATATAATAAATAACACGCCGTAGACGACATTTACAACGGGTTCGACGCGTTTTTTGGGCGTGAATTAATAAAGGTTGGTCATTAGGGTACATGTGCGTCTAGGGACCATGGCGACCCGGAGATGACCTCATCGTTTTTAGGATCAAGTTTTTGGTTTAAAAGTCAGGTCCCAGGAATTTATCGTTTGTTAGAGCTGCTATATTTTTGTTTCTAAATCTTAATTTCTGGAGGTTCTGGATGCCAGCAATACTCAATTTTTGTCATTTTTGACGGTTTTGTTCACGTTCTTTAATTTAAATATCGTAAGACATTTTGCATTGTTAAAAACCGGAAAAATTTTTTTTGACATTATCGGGGGGGGGTCTCTTTTAAAACCGTAAATTGTGGTGCAAAATCTTATTTTATGGTTTTTTGTTAATCGAATTTGCTCAATTTTTACGTTTAAGAATGATAAAAATAGGTTTAGAAACGCTGTTTCTAGAAAAATGGGTGTAAATGGAAAAAAGTTAGATCTGCCAATAACCCTCCCCCCGTTAATGTATAAGCACCGGATAAAGAAACCCGTGTCAATTATCTGATTTTAAAGTTAACTTTTGGGTTTTTGGGCTTTTTTTAGGCTGTTAGGCCCATTACGCGACGATCCAAAACACGGTGCTTGATCACCTCCTATTAATGCACCTTATTTTTGACCCGGAACAGATCGAATCGCTTTCTTTCCCGCCCACTATTTGATATCATCGGAACGGCTTTTTGATCATCTACTTCCTCCTCGAATTTAATCCGGATTTTCCGCCCGGCAAAAAGCCTATATTTTGCCCCTGTTCCGGTCACAGGTAAACCAGCGATTCGTCATTTTTCAAGAGTTCTTTGGATTTTTACTGACCGTATTTGGTCCCCGTTGACTATAATACTTATGATATATATTTTTTAATATTTTGAAGTCGCCCAGGTTTTTTGACTTTGAAGAAATTACTTTTAAAAAGCCATTTTTTATCAAATTTCTGCATTTTTCGTGGTTTTATCTCTGTGTTCTGCCTTTAGAAAAATTCGCAAAAAATGGCATTACAATTTTCTTCGTTTCCAAATCACCAGATCCAGATTCCTGCGTCAAAATACCATTTTTTTTAGTCGGCCTGAAAATCCCCCCTGGGGGAATGACAATTTGACCGGAGCCCCCCTACGAGCCGCTCCTAATTACACGCTTCTTTTTGTGCGCCTGTGCCGGCCAGGGGGAGGAACTGATTTTCACGGCATCAACCCGCCAATTGTGACGCAAATCGAAATTTTGTAAGCCCCGCAAAAATGTCAGCATTTTTTGGGGCTGATCAGCCCTTTTTCTGGCCGCTACCACCCTGCACTTTGTCGCCGCCAATTTTTTTTGATTAGCACTTTTTCAAGCGGGAAAAGTGACAATTAGGACTTTGCAGCGATGGGGGGCGCGCAGATACGGGGCTCCTGAATTTTATCCAGTCCTCTAGAAGACTGCGAAAAATTCTGGATTTCCTGAAAAATGCTGCCCATTTTCCCGATGGTCGGCCCGAAAACCAGCAAATACTATAAAAAGCTTGTAAGTTTAGCCTAAAGAGGGCGATTTTACTTTTTCCTGCGCCGCGTCACGTAGCGCGTGAGTTTGCCTTTCCGTCGCGTAATCTATTGCGAGCTTTGAAGCAGAACGTCAAGCAGAGCGCAGCGCAGCGCACCTGGTCAAGCAGAACACGCGTCGCATTTTCTGTAGCGCGTGCTTAAAAAACATTATGGCTTAGAATTGTGCATTTTATGACCGTCGACTTGCTCTCAATCATCTTGCCCGCGCGCCACGCAACGCGCGAGTCATCTTTGCGTCGTTTCGTGCGTCGCACGTGGCCGTCGCGTCCTATTGTCGCCAAAAACGAACTTTTGATCAAACCTGCTTGAGTTTGGCCTTCAACGGCCCTTTGAAATGGCCGAACCTGACCCATATGGTGTTTTTAAGCTGTACGTTTGAATTGGACTGACCCTGGTGGCCCTATTTTTAAACAAAACCCATAAATATGCTAATTCTTCCAAAATTACCTTCCTCAACCATAAAAGGGCATTGTCGGGAAGCACGTATAAAATGGCCAGCTAAAATAGCGAATTTCTCGATTTATAACCAATTTTTACACCTTTTTGGGTTAAAAAGCCTCCTATCTACGTGACTATTTCAATTGGTATTGATTTTAAACCATGGTTCTGCTCTGTTTTGAACGCTAGGCTAAAAAATGCCCCAGCGACAGTCTGCCGTCTGTTGAGACCAATTTTCAGCAAAAGTTATACAAATTTTTGCGCCTTCTATACTAAGATCCGCTCGAGCGACCGTATAACCTCGTATTATTACAGATGGGCGATCGATCATCCGTCGAAATGCATGCGAAAAAACTGTCCTCTCTGATCGACGACAACTCGCAGACGCTGTTAATTGATGATGAGGTAGGCATCTAACCGGAAAAAGCAAAAAATATTGTTCTGAATCCTAAACCGCAATTTTTCAGATTCAATTCGATTGGACGGCAGACCCAGACGGTGAGCCGAGCCGATTGTGTCGATCTGTCGAGGAATTGCTTGTAAATGTCGGCGACAAATTGGCCGATGTGCCGGATTGTGGATTGAGTCGACAGCCTGTGTCCTCATCTTCAGACACCAAGCTTAACTTTAAGGTTCGTAACCCAGTTCACAAGTGAGAGCAAGAGAGAGCGAGAGAGCGAGGGAGTAAGGGTGAGAGAAAGAGCGAGCGACAGCGAGAGAGAGAGAGAGAGAGCGAGCGAGACCTTTGGTATTTCAGACAACCAACGAAGAGGAACTCGCAAAGCAGGATGCCTTCTTCGACCTGGTGCTCAATGTCCAGGGCAAACGGCTGAATGACCAGCGCTGCGACGCGAAGGTGTTGTCGGAAGTGCAGAACTGGGGCACACGGCATCGGGGAAGCTTCTCGGTGCATGGATGTGGTGGGTAATCGCATTAAAGGCACGGCGACACGCAGACTTTTTCTAAAGACGTAAAAACTAAAAATTTCGTTGAAAAATTCAAAAAATGTGGATTTTTCGGCCAAAAGTGGCAGGTTTTCGACTAAGCTTTTAGTTAAATTTGATAAAAATGACATTTCCCCGCTTCAGAAACCCGCGAACAATTCATCGAATACCTCCTCGCAGCCCAAGAACGGCGAATGGACGAGCAGAGGGCCCACCTCCTCCCCGGCCTCGCCGATCGTGATGATGTCCTGAAAAAGATTGCGTAAGCCATTGGATCCTAGCGTTTCATTTATCAGTACTTCCAGTGACACCCCGGGATTTGATGAGGATTTGTATGATCTGGTCATCAAAAGCCAATCGAAACGATTTAACGACCAGCGGACGGCACTGGAGGATATTCCTGGGTTGAGGATTATGGGAAATGGTCGGTTTTAACGAGTAAAAATATATTAATTAAAATTCATCGTAATTATAATAATTTAGGCCGAAAAATTTGAACCAGTTAGGCTGCCTTGCGGTAAATTAAACTTTTTTAAGTTTAAAATACCGAATTTTTCGGTTTTTTTTTGCATAAAATATCATTAAAAGTATATTTTCAGAAGCTTTAAGCCATAATAAAAACATTTAGAAATAAAAAATATTTTACTGTAAAAACGAAATTCTCTAGACAACGACTCGGAGAAGTTTGCCACCACCGTCCCCGAGGAGGACATTATGGAGATTGTGATGAGGATGGCCGCCGGAAGGATTGATGACCAACGAGCCGCCTTCAACCCGTCCTCCTAGAAGAGAGAGAGAGAGAGAGAGAGAGAGAGAGAGAAAGAGAGAGCTAGAGAGAGAGAGACGAACCATTCCTTCCCCCGATATTTTGTACTCACGCTGTGATACTCGAATCGGCTTCTTCTTTTGCTTTTTTGCGCTTTTTCACCTGTATACTATGTACGGAAACGATTTTTGTGTGTGTGCAAAAATTTAATATTAAGAATTCTTTAGCTGCGAAAATTTAAAGGGTGATTTTAATCCACAAAAACCCCCAAAAAATTATAGAAAATGGCATTTTTGGCCGGAATTTAATGGAATTTCATGGCGTAATCGATTCCATGCTTCAAATTATCAATTTTTCTGTATCAAAGATTCCTCTATTTCTCTAAAAATCCCTCCAATTTCTTTCCTATCCGACAAACGCTAAAACCTGCTGCTTTTTCGCCGTCTTTCCCCCGCAGGCTTTTCCGTGAATCTGCATATACCTTTTCTTTTCTGTGTGCTGCTATGCAATGACGATGACCCCAGCGATTTTTTTAATTTTTATTGTTTTTGCACTGCGAAACCACGCCGAATATGGGTGCATTAATGGCACATCTACTACTTTTCAGCCGATTTTCCGAAAATTCTGTCAAAATGCCGACAAGCAAAAAACGCCGACACTGGAAATGTCGACATTAGAAATGTTGATGCCCGAAATGCCGACACGCCAAAAATTTCGACAATCATAAGGCGAAATTATACGTAAAAACATCTAATTCCAAGCGTGTGCGGGTTATGTTTGTCGAATTTTTGCTCTCGGCCTTCTAGCCGTCGGCATTAACGCTTTTTGACCATAATGCCGACAAACTAGAACCCCGACAGCCATAAGACTGGATTAAATTCCAAAAATATTTGATTTCAAGTAATTTCCAATGGGTATTTTGGTTTGTCAGCATTTTAGCTGTCGGCATTCATCTTGTCGGTATTTTTGCCGTTCCCCAAAATGCCCCCACCCTTGATCAGTCCAAAATGTGATGCCCGGAGTTGTAGAACCAAAAAAGGCCTCCCAACTCGTCTGAATTCTAATCCCTCCCTCCAACCAGAAATTACGTGCAATCAGCCGCGCCATCCATTGACATTCATCCATACATGTTTTGTGCCATTTAAATTATTCTTGACATTATTTTTGTTGTGTTTTTCTATACATTTTTGACTTTTTGGGTTGATTTCGTTTGGCTTGGAATAAAATGATTAATATGAAGATGGTGGTGACCGCAGTCGAATAACATCCAAAGCAATCGGCTAAAGACGAAAAATAAAAATTGAAGGTTCTTTCGCATTATCGGGGGGGGGGGGGGCGAACTTTTTTGGACAGGTCTAGAAATGCCTCGTAACTTAATAGAAAGTGTTATAATCGTGTTTTTAGCAATAGCTAACCATAGTTCAACTAGAAATAATTATCTAAAAACTTTTAAGAGGTTGAAATTTGGGTCAAAAATGCCATTTTCGGCGGAAAATTCACATTTTTTATATTTTGTAATACAAATTTGTAAAGTTTTCACGTTCAGGAAGAGTGAACAACCATTTAGAAACACTTTCACTATTTATTTTTGAAAAATTAGATTCTAATAAAAATTTGGTCCCCCGATAATGCGAAAGAAACGTGTTTAAGACTCGTTTAAGAGTAATTCTCTCGCTCTCTCTCTCTCTCACGCTTTCTCTCTTTCTCTTCTCTCGCCCTTTTTAGTAAAATATAATACTATTTCAATTGGAAAACTATCGAAAACTTCTAAAAAGTTGAACTTCCCCCACCGCCGTTGTCCAAAGCAGGCAGACAGACGTCGAGCTATCTCTCCGCTTTCCCTTGTCTATCATGTTCAAGTTAGCCCGGCCTGTTTCTCTTACCAATGCGCACTATCTCACCCTTTATGCCATTTTGGCAGCCCCACATCCCCGGCCGTACAGCTATCAAAATAGCAAAAACCTGCCATTTTCAGCTTTATCATCTCCAATATCTGCTTTTAAACTATGCCCATGATTTTGGGGTTCTAAATAATCGTTTTTTAATTTTCCAGGCCGGTCGCAACCGGGATGAAGACCGAACCGCCCGAAGAAAAACCTCCACGGTTTGAAATTCCGGACGAATATCCCGGCCCTTCTCAAACACCTCCACCACCGGTACCGAAGAAGCCCAATTCCGGAAAGAATAAGGAACCGCTACCCCCGGAGTTTCCCCTGCGCCAGAATCCGAAGCGCAAAAACAAAGGGTAAATTTTTGTTTGTGAAGACCGTTAAAAATCTCTTTGTAATGGATTAAATCATGAAAAATTACCAAAATATGGCATTTTTAGGGTAAAGGTCATCAAGCCCTTCACGCCAACGAGCCGAGAGCTAACGATTACCGAAAAGATTGAGCTTAAGCTTAGAACCGAAAGACAGAGTAAAACGCATTATCGTCGACGCAGGCACGACTACAACGAAAAAAAGACCTGGAGGTGATTCCGTACTTCTTTGACAACAATTTTTTTCTAGGTACAAATTGAGATGCGAAGAGCCCGGTTTCGTCCCGCCCACGCCAAAAGCCAATGACTGTCAGCCCGAACTGGATGGCGAACTGATGGAAATCGAGGAGCAACCAAACCCCGAGGATTTCGACGATGCCTCCATGAAGTCGCAAAACGAACCCTCGAGGGAAATTGTCGATTCTTTGGAGCAGCCACAGCCGGCTGATGCGGAAAGTAGGAAGAGCTTGCTGAAAAGTGCTCAAGAAATCTCGGATGCTCGGAGGTAATTTTTTACTTTCTCAATCGTAGTTTTGCGCGTTTTACATTTGAAAACCCAGGTTTTCCAGTCTGAAAGAGAGACTAGCGGCAGAAGCTGCGGCCGAAATGGACGAGCTCGAGAGGGAATTGCTGAAAAAGGCCCAAGAAGAGGTCGTGGAATCTGGGGATGAAGACCAACCCGGCCCGTCTACGAGCAAGTCGCCGTCTGTTGGAGCTGTAGATGCGGAAAAGACGCCAAGGTCAGTTTTCGTTCTTTATTTTAAAAAGTATTTTAGGTGCCGAGTCGGGGAGAATGAAACGGTCAAGCAATATGCTGCTCGATTGACAAAATACCGACAGCGAAACCGGCAACGAATGTAAATTCCTAATCTGAAGGTTTAAAGCCTCTTGCAGGGCCCGCGCCCAAGCTCGAGAGGCCGAGGAGAGAGCTGAAGCTGAAGCGGCTGCAGTCATGCTCGATGAAGCCTCTTACAGGGCCCGGGTCAAGGCTCGTAAAGCCGAGAAGAGAGCCCAAGCCGAGGCGGCCGCAGTCAGACTCGATTCTGACAAGCTGTGAGTCTAAAAGCCTCGTATCTAAAGGTTTTTTTAGGAGGGAAGCTCTGAAAGATGAGGGTTTTTTCGACTTCCTCGACCCTCTAACGCCTTTGCGGAAGGTTAAAAGGTAATTAGAAGATTTTAGAATAGACTATTTATGAGAAAAACTGGAAATACTGAACCTTTAGCGAACCAAGCAAACATTTCGTCAAAGTCTCGCTCAGCCGGCGAGAAATTGAAGACTGTTTCGTCGGGACGAGGGAGAAGAAAGTGTTTGCAACGATGTAAGTGCCAAAAAAGTATAAGAAAGCTTGCTTTATTAGTGAAATTACGCCAACGGAAATTGAAACGCCACCGGCGAAACCTCGAAATCGCACCCAGCTATTCCTAGAAGCCCAGCGAAGGAAGCAGGCAAAATCTCTGGGAGTTCAAAGGTATTTTTGAACGTAGTAGCCGACGAATCCCCCGTTTTTAGTAGCGAAACGAGTGGCTGGACGCAAATGGACGTCCTGAAAATACCGGGCGATCATCTACCGCCAACCGACGATCCACCGTCCGTCACCGGGGTGTTCAAACACCTCGACGACGACTATTGCGATGAGCTGATACGCAATGTGATGGAGAAGACGAAAAAGTACTGACATATTTTTTACCAAAATGACCATATTTTCTAGGGTGCAGTGGCCACCGCGGAAGAAGAGCGATAAAAATCTGTGAGTTTAACCGCCAAAACTTACTCGGTTCTTTTGCATTACCGGGGGAGACGATTTTTTTTCGTAGGACCTAATTTGCAAATACAACTAGTGGAACTTTACAAAATCTTCGTGAAAACGTCAAAAATATCGAACTTTTTCAACGTGTTAGAGGGTTTTTCTGGTTTAGATATAGTTATTTTTGACGAAAACATTACTAAAACACTTGCGATTAAGTAAATAGACATTTCCAGATTTGTACGAAAAATTTCGTGCCCCTCCCCCCCCGATAATGCGAAAGAACCAGTACTATTTACGCATCTTAAAAACCAATTTTTTAAAATTTTAAATTTAAAGAATATCACCTTTTTCAGATCTATGGCAAGTCGCCAGCCACCGGCGGAAATAGCCGACGATTTCGTGATGTGGGCCAACCCTGCTGAGGATGAGGTCGAGTGTGACGACGATGGAGAAACCGGGATTCCGGAGATCGAAAAACGCTCGGAAATGAAACCCCCGAAACATGAGAATCCGGCTGGGTTAGTTGTAAGAAACCTTCTGTAAACCGAATTTAGTGACCTTGATGATGATGACGGGCTGGTGTACGAGGACTAGAAGAGAGGGCTAAAAACCTTCCTCCTCTCCCTCTTTGCCGTTATTTTAGTTGCTCTTTCATAGCGATAGATATCCTTACTGATGATCAGCTACAGTTTTCTTGTTGATTTTCTTGTTGCATGGCATGAATAAAGGGTAAGAGTCTAGAAAACCCCCCCCAGCCGGCACCAACTTTTGTATCTCGGCCCCCTTTTGTGCTAGCGAGCTCTAAAGTATACCAAAATGTTCGCCGTAGGCTAATTAGTAAGACTACATTCCAGTTCAGTCGAAAAAATAGCGAAAAAATAAAAATAAGGAAGGTAGAAAAGTTGAAAAGTCGGCTGGGGGGGGTTTCCTAGACTTGAGCCGAATAAAGAATTTTACGAACCTAATCAAGTTCAACTACAAGCTACAATTCTGTAATTTACACATGCAAAATTAGAATCCAGAAGAATGCATTTCCGGTAGAATCCTATCAGCTTGTTGATGAATATTATATCGCCACTCGCCACGCCTCCAGCAACCCGATGGTGCCGTCGGGTGATGTGCTACAGATGGTGGCCGAGCGGCTCACCGGGCCCGATCGCCTCAGCCTCGCCTCTACCACACAGAAGTTCCTTTTTTCAGCTTCTAAAATTACCGAGAAAACCTAACGTTTCAGATATCAGCCCTAAATCTACGAAATGGCAGTCAAAATAGCTCATTTCTCAAACATCAGGAACTACGACCTGCTGCGCCAGTGGAGCGACGTGACATCGCTGCTGCTCGACACGGACGAGGCCCACGTCGCCGGCAAGATCTTCACCGGACGCCTGGAAAAGGCGAAAAGCTCCTCCGAATCGGCCACTTTCCTCGAGCAGATCGCCGCGTTGTGCCCCAGCATCCACAAGGTAAATTTTCCGGATAGAAATACGCTTGAACAAAAATGTTTCTATAAATATTCGAATTTGTCAGAAATTTGAAAATCACGGAATTTATCCAAAATCCGTTGCGCCACTATGTACGTTGACACGTAGATAGGAGCCCCCGTACTCAATCATGCAAAATTGATTTTTTCTAGCAAAATTTTGTTTTCATTATCTTTTCATTTTCTCTAAAATTTTTCCAAAAAATGCGGATTTCTCAAATTCCGTTGCGCCACTATGTACGTTGTGGCGTAGATAGGAGCCCCCGTACTCAATGGCTAAAAAAGTTTTGGCTCAAGTCTAGGAACCCCCCCCAGCCGACTTTTCAACTTTTCTACCTTTCTTATTTTTATTTTTCGCCACTTTTTTCGACTGAACTGCAATGTAGTCTTACTAATTAGCCTACGGCGAACATTTTGGTATACTTTAGAGCTCGCTAGCACAACGGGGGGCCGAGATACAAAAGTTGGTGCTGGCTGGGGGGGGGGGGTTTCTAGACTCTTACCAAAGTTTTCTACATTTTTTAGCAATTGAGTAATTTTTGGTTTCATTACCTTTTCCATTTTTTCTAGAAGTAACTATATTTGTTTCAGATCTCCATCCAGCATCAACTCGGTCAGGCAGAGATCAACGCCCTCGTGCCGTACGCCCCCTACCTGCGCCAGCTCGACCTGTCCTCCGACAACTTTCTCGTGTATGTTTTTTTGTTTTAATCTTATGCAGCCATTCTTGTTCTAATCTTTAATTTTCAGAACTGCTCGGGGATGGCGAACGCCCGTGTTCAACACCACATTCCCGAAGCTGAAGACGCTCGGCATTCTGAAGCGCATCGACGAGGGCAAGCTGCTGTTGAAGCGCCAGATGACGCTGCAAAGTGCCGAGGTAGGAAATCGCGTTTTTCAAAAGACAGTGTTCACTTTTGAGGAGCTGTTCTCGCCCTCTTTGGAAGAGTTGCGCCTGACCGGGATCGCCCTCCGCTCCGAAGTCCTCACGAAAATCGGCACGCTGACCAACCTGCGTGTCTTGCACCTCTCCGGCTGCATCGTCGACACCGTCAGCGCCCTTCTTATTGTCAATTTCGGTAGATGAACAATAATTTTGGGCTGAACTTCAATTTTTAGATAAACTGACGCACCTGACGGAGCTCTCGCTGCCCGCCTCGCTCTTCTCGATCCATCGCCCGCCACCACCCGCCACCAAAAAGATCGAGCCGCTGCCGTTCACCCTGAAGTTTGTATTGTAGAGCTACGTTTACGTTTCTTTTTTTTCCAGGCAGTTGACCAACTTGCAAACGCTGGATTTGCACTGTGAGATGATGGACAACGACTTTTTCAAGCGTTGCATCGAGGAGTTTTTCCCGAAGAATCTCGTGGTACGGGCGCAAAAACTATAAAAAGCTTGAAAAATACACTTTAAAATGTGAAAAAATTAAAAGAGCATGATTACTTTTCCATTTTTTTAGCTCCTCCGCCTCAACGGCTTCACCTGCCGGCTGCCCGACCCGAAGAAGCTCGACGTGGCCTACAAATTTCAGGTATTTTCTTGCGCGTTCGGCTTAATTTTCCCTTAGATCCAATTTGTGCGCCCGGACGTTATTAAGATGAAGGCGTTCAAGGGCTCCAACGACAACTGCAAGCTGGTAGCCATTTTCTGGAGTTTTAAACCCGTTTTTTTCAGATCTCCGAGATGTACTGGTGCGACCCGTACCGCCCTATCGCGATCCCGGTTCGGATGCCGATCCGCCCGCAGAGGAACGTTACAATGGCACGTTTATATTTGGGTTGAAAGAAATATAATGGGTATTTCGCATTATCGTATTTCGCTAACTTTTTCCTCATGATCCACTCTTTTGACTTTCCTAAACGTAAAAAATGTACAAATTTTCGTTAAAAATACAAGAAACATAGATTCTTCACCAAAATTGACAGATTTTTGACCAAAATTCCTACTTTTCAAGTTTTTAGTTAGTTTTCTGGTCTAAATAGTGATTTACAACTAAAAACATGCATAAATGCTCCTATTAAGGTACTAGGCAGTCCTAAACATTAACAAAAAGATGAGCGCCGCGCACAGCGAACCAATTGAGACTTTGATTTAGACGCCAGAGCGCTGGGCGACGCAAGTGCCCGAAGCGACCAAGCCGTTTCCGGAAAATCAGCTGGCGTGAGTTTTCGCGAAATCAGCTTTATCCCCTTTTTAGCTTTGTCGAGAAGTCGTTGATGCTGGACGTCCAGGCGTCGTCGCAGGTCCGTGATCACCTCCTGATGCCCGGAAACCCCTCTCTTTCTAGGAGGGCGTGTCGGCCATCTCGAGCACGACGGCTCAGCACGGATCCCCTGCCCGTCGCGATGGACTTGAGCCGCCGTAAGTTTCTGCGCATCTGCTTACACCCCGATTTTTCTAGCGACGACAACGCGTTCCTGAACCTACTCGACATGCTGCAGCTCGGCCCCAACTTTGAGGACTTTGGCGCCCCTCCGGCTCCGCTGGCGCTCCCAGCCCCGCCTCCTCCTCCGCCCCAGCCGCCGAGGCCTGTGGCCAGGGTATGGAATTTTGTGTAGGTGGTACATTGTGGTTTAGCTTTCTCCGGTACTGTACTGTTAACGGGGGAGTGATCAAGCATATGCCTATCTAGCCGATGATTTTTTATCGCTTTCGGGATTTGTTTCATAGCTATGAGTAGTTTTTGAGTGCTAAAAAGCTATCAAAACTGTTTTTGAGGATTTGAAGATGCATTTTTAGCCAAGATCTGTCATTTTAGTAAATTTTATGACGATCATGAAAACGGCGTAAAAAAATATTTTTTAGCCCATCTCGCCTCCGATGCGTACGGCTCGCCAGCGGTCGGTGTCGACCATCAGAACGGCATCTTCTGGCGCCACCACGATTCCCAGCTCGTCGACCACCCGCGGCAGCACGGCGTCGACCAATTCTCGGGACGCGTGAGTTTTTTTTTTGAAACACTATCAATTACAAGTCCATTTAGGTCGAGGCCTCGTAGGCGCCGCTCCACCTCCGTACCACCGCGTCCGGCGTCTGCCGCCACCTCGGCTTCGGCCGGTTCGACGCCCCACCATAGTGCCCGCTCGGCCACCAGGACCGCCACGGCTTCATCGGCAGCTGGATCCGCTTCGACGGCGACTGCTGGCTCACGCGCTGCCCAGCCCTCATCTACCTCGACGGCTACCCGCAGATCGCGTGCTTCCAACTCGTCGTCGGCATCCACCGCCACCAGGACTGGCAGGTATATCTTTTCCTTTTCGAGCTTGTATCTTATTTTTGACTTCCCGGTCCCCTGAATTTCAATTTCATTTTTCAGGCGCCGTCGTCGTGGCAGCACGGCCAGCACCCCGCCGCCCGAGCACTAGCAACTTCTCTTCTTAAAACTCGTCGAACAAGCCACCAATTTATCGATATTTGAACCAAGTGTCATCAACTGTGATTTGTCTATGCTCTGCCATTGTTTTGCCCCCACTTCTCGCTGTGTCGCTTAATAAATATTTTATCGGAATTTTGACCTTGAAATACATGGATATTGGCGCCGAGTAACATACTGCATTGTGAATTCGATTTTGGCGAAGGGCTTGGATCTAAAATAACGTAAGAGAAACGTTCCTTTGTTATACCTTCTCATTTTGTTGAACCCTTTGAAGCATAAATATTTTCAGCTAATTTTATTTGCAAAAAACCCTCGGGTTGTAGCCTTTATTTTGGAGAGTTTTCCGCTTGTGGGTTGTAATAGATTAGAAAACTTGCTGGCAAAAAATTCTATGAAGTCAGGCGCTTCGGAGAATGTTTAAAACCTATGAGCGATATCTCCGTTTCGAGCCTTCACAAACCCTTTAAACTGGACGTCTTTTGGGTGGGGTTCTATGCTATTTTGCGCGCGCCCGGTTACGCCATCTAATTTGACCCGCCCGGCCCCCCGCGGCCCGATTGAAAATTGAAAATTACTTTTCAAAGCTTTTCCATTGCAAAATCATCTTAAAGTCCATAAATCCAACTATATCCGACTCTTTACAGGCCCTTCACCTCGATGAGCCATGCCGAACGGGTCGTCGAGCTGTGTCGGCTTTTCTACGACGGAAGCACCGACCTGGCAGATCGCGCAGAGGTGACACAGGTTTGTTTTTGCACGTTTTTCGGTATTTTTGAATTTTGGGATGCTTTTAAGACGTCTTAATTTCCAGGAGCTCTACGCCCTCTTCAACGGCGATGAGGGCCTGGAGGTGGCCGAGCGGCTGTTCGCCTACTCCGGTGCTTTGGGCCCCGTTGAGCAAAGCCAACTGCAGTACCTCGCCTGGAAATGTGTTGAGCAGCAGATACGGTGCGGAATATTGTTTAGAAATAGGAAATTGAAAAAAAAACAAAAGAATGCCTTTTAGTTTTTTTCGTAATTAATAGAAACTAGGACCTAACAAAGAAAATAATTATATTCTTGTTTAGAAACAATTGGGACAAGCTATCAGCCGGCCGCCGAAAAGTGCTGATCGACGCGTGCTCCGCATTTTTGCTGTCAAACGAGACGCCACCTGCCGAAATGTACTGGCGCGAGCATGCGGCCGAGGCAATTGCGGTGAGTGGAGGAAATAGGTGTACAAAACTTGGTTCTTTCGCATTATCGGGGGGGGGGGGGGGTACGAAAATTTTTGTATCAGCTTAGAATTGTCTGGCAGCGTAATAGGGAGTTTTTTATTAGTGTTTTTCTAGGAAAGCACAACTGTCTTTCAAATTGAACAGCCATTTGAAACTTGAAAACTTTATTAACTTTTTTAATGTCGAAAAATCTATATTTTTGGTATTTCTTAACCTAAATTTTATATTTTTGGTAACTCTTCTTTTTAGGCCGTAGCCGCCCGGACGCTGCCCGACTATTGCGACGATTGGATTACCGCGCTGCAGACGGCCATTTCGAAAAGTGCCGTTTTAAAAATGAACTTGCATTTTCATATTTTAGGCTACACCGGCGCCATTTTGACATTTTTGATCCTGGGAAAACTCTACGATCAATTCCCCAAAAATAAGGACAAGGCAGGTTTTTCAGTTTCTGATGTTTATGCCATTTTTAGTACGAGCTACGCGTTATCGACTTTGTCAAGAAAGTCGTCGAAACGATTGATGCGTTTCTCGAGCCATGCGGGCCAGCGGAGAGCGGTGCGGAGAGTGGTGAGTTTCGACACCATAAACGATTTTCTTTTTTTCAGAAGCCAACTTCCTGGTCGTCTGCTCAGCCGTGCTTCGTTTTCTCGAGCTGCTGGCAAGCCGATCGCCCGATTTTCCGCAAAACAAGGGGCCGATCGTCGAGAAAGCGGCGCTGCTTATTGGGACCCGAATAACGCACGACGCCGCCGGGCTGATCGCGGCTATTGCGAAAAAGAGGTAAAATGAAGGCCTAAAAGTTGTATTTTTGGAGGGTTTTGTGTAAGTTCAGGTTCAGGAAGGCCTAGTATCATAATATTATGTTTTAATGGGATTTGCGAAACTACATATTCTGTGGAAAAACAATAAAAGACTAGAAAAGTATTTTTGGTTGAAATTTGCGTCAAAATCGGCGATTTTTCGTCGGGCAAGCAATATTCGTTGTATTTTTTAAAATGCAAATTTAGAAAGCTTTTACGTTTAGGAATAATAATAGCCGGCTTAGAAACAGTCGCGCAATTTTTCTTGGAAAATGGTTTAAGAGAAAAAAGTTAGTCCCCCCGATAATGCGAAAGAACCGTTTTTTTAGTTTTGTAAAGAAAGAAAGGAAGTGGCATTTTTTTTCGTGCCAGAAACACCGAATTTCTCCTTCCAGGAAAGGTTTCGACGTCTACGCGTGCAATATTGTACTCTGTGAAAATCTACGGACCGCCATGGACACGCTGAAGCTTTTGGTAAAATTTTAGCGCGATTTGAAAACTGCAATTTAGGTAATATCAAATCCGATGCCATACGCCGAAGCGTACGACCGCCTGAAAGTCTCCGTACCCATCCTCACAACAATTGCGCACACCGCCACCGAGGGGCTTGATCCCAAATCGAGGGAATTGCGATGGCTGATGGATTATGCCGTTTCACTCGTCAATTTTCAGAGCTTGGTAAAGTCTTTTTCTTTGGCGATAGTTCATTTTTCTAGACCCTCCGCCGGATTGGCCTCGAAATTATCGCAAATCTGAGCGCCGGTCAGTCGATACGCGACGCTCCCTTTTTCATGGAATGCGTGTCGAACCTGGCGGAGATGGCGGTCGACTACATGACGGAAGATGTAAGAAGATTATTTAGGCCTTTGGGCGCATAACCAGCTTTTGTTAGGAAAATAGCTGCTATGTTTTTGCCTATTCTTGACCCTAGAAACTATAATTTATTTATGAATTTGATTTCAGGGTGGATATTCAAATTTTTTGATCCAGAACGATGAAAATGCCAACTTTTCCAAAGATTTTTACATTTTTTTGCAAGACTTTCTACTTCTGTTATAGTTGAATTTTGCGAAAAAAAAAACGTAAAAACGCTTTTTAGTGAATTAGCGATTAAATAAACGCAGTGAAACACACATTTCTTATTCCTTTTAGGTCCTCTGCTCCCACGAACCGCCGACGATCGCCACAAAATTCTCGCAAGAAGATTTCACCGAGGACTCGGAGGTGCAGCAGGAATTACTCAGTAAGTTTGCGGAAATTTTCGGCATTCTAAAAACCGTTTCAAATATTTTTCTCAGTTAATTTTTGAAACTGTGCAGGATAAAGTTGCTATTTGATAGCGCAATTGTCTTCCGAGAAAATCGGTATTTGCCCATTTCAAAAGCCGTATTTAGAATGCCGGAATCACTTCTTCACCTTCGTGGAAATCGCGGCGCGACACGATTTGGAGCGAATGACAAAGGTGGTGCAGACGAGATTCATCGATCGGCTAGATGAGGGGGATACGGGTATGGTAGTTTGGACATTATTTAGGGAATGACTTTTTAGTGCTCGAGACGGAGTGCGAGTTCTGGGGCAAGACGCTGAAGACGTTTTACAATTTGACGAACGGGAAAAGCCAGAAGAACCGCAAGGAGCAGCCGGATGTCCCGGTGGAGGTTGGTTTGTGGTTTAATCCTACTATCCTACTTGCATGCAACTTCCGTCAGGGTTTCCGGAGGAGATCTCGATAGGGGATGAATTTTAGGGTACGGATGATACGTCATTAGGTGCGTGATGGCTCTGGGATGACTGCATACTTATCAGATTTACCAAAATTGCCTATTTTCGACATTAAATTTAGGTTTTTGTTAAAAAATCGGGGACCCTCTTTGTTAGGAGAAAATTAGCATGCGCCGGAAGTGGCGGCACCCTATATAATGGAGTAGAAGGTGCGATTTTCATTTTTTGTCATCGGAAATCGAGAATTATCCGGTGAAGTAGACCATGAGATCAGACGGGGCCAGGGTTGAAAAGTCGCGAAGCGGCTTTTCAACCCTGGCCAGTTTTTAAAAATGTTAAATGAGGCGAAAATGATCCTTTTAGCCAGTTTATAAAGTCCCTGTAACATAGAAATTCAACAAATAAATTATAACAGTTTTAAAAATTGGGTGTTGTTCTGACTTCTGCGGCGTTGGTGGAAACCCCGTAAAAATCCGTCCCGGTCCAAATAGCGCGCCCTACGCCAGTCCCCACCGACCCCCTTGGTCTAGTGGCTAGTACGCCCGCCCCCCACCCAAATGACCCGGGTTCGACCCCCCGCCGCGCCTATCATCCAGTGGACTGCGGTACCTCACCGCATTCCACTTCAGCGAATGGTGCTACAAAGAGCGTTTCCACATTCGAATACAATGCCGACGCTAGGTACTGTAACGAATGGGGCATCGACATTTTTATTCCCTTGAGCTTGAAAGTTTTTGTTTGGAAAATTGGGTGCTTTTCTATTTACCGAGGGGGCCAGATTTGGCCGGTTTTTCGGGCCAAGAGCAATCTCCTAAAAATCAACGGCGATTTTTTTGATACCTGTGTAGATTTTATATGTAAAACCATTTTTAAAATCTTTAAAACTTCGAATTTTCGGCCCTGAACTGTTAGCTGAGGGGATTTTCTTCATGGAGGAACTGATTTTTTTTGTTTGTTTTTTTGCCTATATCTATTAGTAATACATTGGGCGTTTTTATAGTATTTTTAGTAGTTGTTCATTGCAGAAGGTTGTAAAAATATTTTTTTGAAATTCGACAATTTTTACCGTTTTTGGGCAAAAAGTCATGCATTTTCGTAGTGCAAAATGCTATAAAAGTGCTTTACGTCGCATTGTAGAGCCACAATGGATTATTAGGAAAGTTACCCCCCCCCCCCCCCCGCAAATAGAACAGTACCGAAAATTGACGCAAAACCGGGAAGAAAAAACCCAATTTCTTTTCAGA